TCAAATATCAATAGTTTTAATACTCCTGTAAAATGATTTTATTAATTAGATTTATTATTTTATATAAGGGTAATATTATGATTAATTTTAATATATACAGGTTCGAATAATAAATAACGATTATATTTATTATTATTATTATTATTATATTATTTCTTTTTTTTATTGTTGGAAATAATAATGAATTTGATTTAAATAATAATTGAACGATATATTTATTATTATTGCTAACAATGATTTAATTTGGAATTTGATTTAAATAATGAATCTAAATTGAAATGCTGATTTTTTTGTCAATCATAAATTATTCATTTCTGAGTAATATTTGTATAGTCAAATTGATTATCATTATCGTACGAACTTAATTACCTTTCTTTTTTTTTCTGTGTCCAAAAAAAATTTTATTTCGATTTAATTGATGAAAATGCGTTGATTACGAGATAAAAGAAAATCCCTCATAAAAAGCTTATCAGAATATTTATATTCAAACCATAATCTATGTTATATTTATCAATATGACAATTCCAATATTTTTTTATTATCATTTTGAATTTCTTCATCATTTGGTAAAAGGACTGAAAAAGTATTTTCGTTGCAAATGTTTGTATTATTTGAAATATGAATGATCGTTTATGTTTCCTATTGAACCGAAAAAAAAATATATATATAATATTATCTATCATATATATAAATAACACACACACGTAGTAACATACACACTTGGATCGCAGTAATTCTGAATAAGTGTCAGTGGAGTAAATCAAACTATGGTCAGCCAACGTATTCCTTAAATTCGTTCACGTCTTAAAATAATGAGATATGAATTCGATACACGTAAGAAATATATATTCATGAACATTTACAAATTCATGAACCCGTATTGTATACACGCACACATATATAATAGAATCATAATTTTCTGCTCGATAGGAAACGTATTTTTCATGATAATCCTGTTCACAAAATTCTCGAACGATTGGATAGCTGACTGATATTTCTCTTCCTTTCCTTTCGACCCTTTTCTAACATTTAGGCACCCTCTGCCTTAATTTATTGATCTTCTTTCCCTTTCCCATTCGTCCTTTTTATTTGTGTTGTTGACTACTTACGTTCACTTTCTATACGCGTTTAAGTAACATCCCATAGACACGATTTGTTCTTAAAGAATACAAATTGTTCTGTCAATAATTTATTACTTTATTTCGTTAGATAAATAAATATTAAACGTAAATAAAATTTCTATTATTTTCACGTATTCCTATACACACTCTCAAGTGAAATTTATTTTATTTAATATTTTACGAAAATCTTTTTAAAGTTTATATTAAACTTTAACATTATTGTTCATTAATTATTGCAAATACTTTTTATTCTTTTTTTCTGTGATTGATTTCAAGGAAAACAAATATATATATATATATTCTTTTTCTTTTTTCTACAATTTTTCGAAACATTTTCGTATATTTTATAAATGAGAACTTTTTAGGAAATATTTCAAATCATTATTCATCGTATATATAATAAATAAATCAAATATAATCCTTTAAGATTCGCGATATCATTTATCTTTATATTTTGCGCTATTGTTTATATTAACGTTTCTTTTTATTAGACTTTTGAGATTTAGATTTATCATAAAAAAATTGATATTGAATAAAATATTCATTTATGGAACGTGCTATATGTAAACTCACGATGCTAGGTTTATCCTTTTTATAATAGAAAAATTCGGTATGTGCGGGAAGGGGGGGTGGGGGGTGGGGGAGGGGGTTAGAAGTGAGAAATCAAAATCGAATATCGTGCATACGCGTATTTGGTTAAAATATTTATTGGTCACGAACTAATGAAAACGAAAAAAAAAAAAACAAAAAATATTGAAAATGGTACGAACAACAAACAATATTGTGAATACTCGTTAAAATATATTTACCGTTTTAACAATTTAATCAGGCAACGTTGAATTTTTTTCGTTAAAAATATACTCGTAGAAAATAATAAGAAATTGTGTTGTATATTTCGAAGGATAAGCGTAAACATAATCTCAAAAACAAATATGAACCATGCACAATTGAAATTCGTTATCGATACTAGAATATATTTCTGTATCGTGATCCTAACGAAATGAGAGAAAACTATTGTTTTACGATAAATGAATGTTACAATATGGGGTGGGGGTGTGGGGGGGGTATATTATTGATCAAAATGTAATATATAAACATTTCATTTATAACTGTGTATATTGGGTCGGTATAGATTTTTAATACAAAATTGTAACAAATCTATTTTTCTTTTCAATATTACGTATCAAATCTTTCTCGAAAAGTTTGAAATTTACATATACATTACATCATGTTAATAAATATCGCAAATATTTTTTTTTTATCAACCAAACTCCTCCCTTTTTCGTAATAAAAACATTTGCAAATGTATCGAATTTATGTCTTCATTTTTCATTTATTTCCCAGGACACAATAACTTTTTATTGTACAAACAAATATGGTGAATTTTGTTTTTGGGGTTTTAATTACCTAATTTACGATGCATCTTCAGCTATCAAAAACGTATAAATATTGTTAGATTTGATTAATATTATCATCAGAGTTATGCGATTTTAAATGTTCATTTGAATGAGAAAATACGAGAAAACTTTTTCCCCGACTTAATATCCTATCCAACGTTTATCGCATATTTCCGATTGGTAGAAATAAATTATGAAATAATTATTTAATTTTTAAACGATATCGATTATTCAACGCACAATATTATTAAATTATTTATAAAATAATATAACGTGTATAAATATTTTAAAAATATATTCGTATACGATAGATTTTTGTGTATTTTTCTTCTTTTATTTTATTGCATGGCATAATAAAAAATGAATCTTTCAGTGTTCAATTTAAACATATTCAATAAATACAAATGACTATTACGAGTGTTATTACGTTTGTTTAAACTTTATTCTAACAAAGTATATTTAGAAATGAAGATCTGTTCAGTTGTAAAATTTGGAGAAAAAAAATTATCGTTCGCCATTGACAGCGCCAGTTAAAACATAAAATAATGAGAACAAGGACGGTTTACTCGTCGGGTGAATACCTGTTCCACTTTTTGTTCCTTAAAACCGGCTGTCTATCTGTCTATCAGTATGTCTATTTCGATGTATTTTCAAATCGTTCATTATAAAGCAAACATTTATACGTTTATTCCTTTACTACGAACAAAATATCGTTGATAATTTACAAATTAAAAAAATGAACATCGATTCAATCCACGATAAACAATTATCATTGCAATAATAAACTTTACGTTTATTTCTATTGTTTGTACAATGTGTATTTTTGATCACGATTCTTTCATATGGAAATTTCTTTTTATTCGAAATCTCGTATTTCTTTGATTCTTTTTGTTAATTTTTGTTGGTGTTTCAATTGCGTTAAAATGCAATCGGAATAATTGTATTTTATTGCAATTTATTCTGTGTGATAAAAGAAAGTACAATAATTTATCCATCATATTTTCTTTTATTTTCATTTCATAATAATTATAATTTTTTATTACCCTTTAAATATCTCGTATGACTCTAAAACAATGTGTAATTATTTTAAATACATATTTTTTTCCTTTCAAAGTGTTACCAAGTTCTAAAGGACGCTTGTACATCTTTAAAAGGACAATTACAACCAAATGGCAAACCCTTTAGAACAGTATTAACGTACGTGCTTAATCCAAAAGCTGTAACGATGGGTCAACTTTATGGCGAGTACGACCTTGATACACACGAGTGGTAAGTAATAAAAATAACAAAATAAAAAGGAAAAAAAAAATATAATCTGTTATATTTTTGTAATCGTATTATCTCGAATCCTAATAAGCTGATTTTAAAATATTGATTTTTCCTAACCCTTCTCATCTTTAAATATCACTTATCCGTATACACTCAATAAACCCCACACATATATCGAGTTTTAAATTAATTATAGTTCATACGATATAAATAATATAATATAATAACGTAATGTGTGTGTGTGTGTGTGTAGGGATCGTTTGTAATTATGTTAGATTATTAGAAAAGTAATTTAGTTTTCTTTTCAATTGAAATTAAATAAAATATAAGACATTTTTAATAATTTTCGCGAAAAAAAAAAAAACTAGTATAGAATTTGTGATAAATATATATTATTTATCAGTTATTATTCGTATTTCCGTATAATAATCAACATTCACGCATCAATGGTTTAACCAATTTTCCTTTTAATCTCTTACAATTTGTTGACTCATCTTTCAAATCTAATCAAACCAAAAGCCCCAGATACAATAATTTACCGATAATCAATTTTGATCCTGGCGTTAATTTATCGTAAATAAAAAAAAAGAAAAAGAGAAAGAAAATATGACAACAACAAAAAAAAGTGTTGACTTTGATTTAACATTTTTGAACTGATGCCAAAGAAAATAACTGCAAGGCGGGTTCTAAATCACATCTTTAGAAACGTATACGTTACTAAAAGTGTAAAATGATTTGAAAATGTTTAGAAATATAAGGTTTAGGCGTGGTAATAAAATCATGGTTAATTCTGACTTAACTTATAACCAACCAAAAATTAAATACGATTTCAAATACGAAATTACTTTTCGTGTCAGCTAATCGTAAGGATGATTTTTCACAAATCGAATCACAAATCTATTAATGCCTTCGTCATAAATGAAACGAATGATGATGCATCGGGATATCGATATAGATGCATTTAAACGCATAAGAGGACATATGAATCATCAATTATAAAAATTGCGAATGGGGTTACAGGAGAACAAATTATATTTCTTTGACACGATATCTATACTTGGAAAAAAAAAAAAAAATAAAAAC